AAGCAACAGACCAAACCATTCGGCTGCATCACAGAGGACAGTGCAAAGCCAGATATCCATTGACCCCACATCATCAACAAGGTAAGTAGGAGTATATTATAAGGATAATCAATAGATAATCCATGAAATTGTGCTTACTTATAGAAAAATGATTTCCTATATTTCAAATAATTTTTTGTGGATTGAATTTTATACTATACGATTTTCTATTTTCAATATTTCAGAAGGCTGTCTGCCAGTTCCCTCTCCCCTGTCACAGGTGTGCAGGTTCACAGCCAGAACAAAATTGCAATGAACATTGCTGAGAGCTCGAATGAACAAGAAAGTAATAATGCTATTGGGAACTTCCCCACTACTGATGTCTCAAATCCTGTGCCACAGAGACTGAGTTCATCAGGTAGTGGAAATAACACAGTTGATGGGACTTCAGTGATGGTCGCAGGTATACCAAGTAGCACTGTTAACCCCTCTGATGTTTCTGTTGAAGAATCTGGAAAGCCACCTCACCTCAAAGACATCACTGAAGAACCTATGCCAGTTACAACAAGGGACAGCAAAATCTCTATACCAGATGAAGATGAAGGAAAAGATCAGGGACATGAAAATGAAGTACAATCTCCTAATAAACTGACTCAGTCTCTGACACCTAACAGGATGCAGACACCAGCAAGTGACGCAGTTTATTTAAGTGATGAGTCAAAGTGTACAGCAGTAAATGACTCTAGGTCTCCTGACACGAGGCCTGTTTCATCGTCAGGGAGCAGTGATGAAGACCCTATTACCATTAATGGAGAAATACCTCAGAAGATTGAGGACGGGGTATCACATCCTGTGAATGAAGCTACTGTTGTGAGAGTAAGTTCTCCAACCCCAGAACTCTCACCATCTGAGAAGGTTATTAAAGACCATGCAGAAATAAATGATTCTGAACTAAAGAGTGAAGAGAAAAAAGAAGGGTCACACAACATCTTAGGACCTCATGAGCATCAAGAAACAAAGGATCTTAGTCTGTATGATTATGGTGATGAAGAACCAGTGAATGTCTGACAAGGTCCCTTGTAAAGACAATGTACCTGCGATTTGATTCAAATATCAAAACATGTACGTGCAAGACATGTAATGAAGACATCCCATGAACTGATGTAGATAATAGAGAATTTAGAAATTGGAATAAAAAAGATTGGGAAAAGTTGAATATCATGTAATAAGTTGATTATGCAAGGGTATAATCTCCTGATCTCTGATTTTTACTGAAAGTGTTATGAGAAAACATAGAGAGACTGAAATCTGAATGTGGGTGTATAGCAAGATGTATTGACTCTGTAATCAGAAATGTTAATAGATTTTTAAAAAAGGATCCTTTCAGTATATTAATGTTGCCATAAGTTGGGGTTGGAAAATATATTTGACTTGAAAATGTAACTTCCCTCTCAAAATAATTATCCAAATAATGCAATATTATTTTTTGAGAAAGATTAAACCATAATGACATTTAAAATGAGAAAAGAAAACATTAGTGCACATTATGTACAATAATGACATTATGAAATGAAAAAAAATTGAGTAATAGTGACATTATAAGATGAAAAACAGTTAAGCAATGGTGACATTAGAAGTTATGGTTTATTTGTTAACTTGAATGTGGATATACTGGCAGTCTTTCCAGCATAATGGATAATATCAGAAGGAAATTCAGAAGTGCCAGAATGTGTGTAGCCACTCATGCACAAGGACACGAGTACTATTATTCACTGGATCATACTGCACATTGATGTTAATAATATCAGCTGTTTTACTGTAATGGAGATGATGGAAAACTCTGATGGGCAAGGCTAAGTATTTATTAACAACTGGTAATACTTAGTATGGGATACTTACATGTAAATTATATAAGTTAGTAAGGGTGTGTTAAACAAAATGTGTGTGTATATGCATTACATACAAAATAGTCTGTATTAGAAGAGTGTATATAGAGTGTTATTTGTAGGTTATATCTATTTGGAATTAATTATAAAGTGCACATGATGTGTGGTAAAGTGAAAGTGTTCCCCGCTCTAATTACTCATTCTACTCTCGTTCACTATGATATCAAAATAAAGTTTAGGAATATGATAAAAGAACACACACACACACACACACACACACACACACACACACACACACACACACACACACACACACACACACACACACACACACACACACACACACACACACACACACACACACACACACACACACACACACACACACACACACACACACACTGTATTTGCAGAAGTTTAACATATCGAAATATGTGTACATTGTGTGATGAGTACAAATTAGATGTAAATGAAAGAATTTATAATATTTTTCATCGCCCTCCACAAAAAAAACACTGTACGAGGTGTATTGTCTTGTAAATGAATTTTAAAGTGAGTTTGAAACTAACTTATACTTGACTAGAAACACTTCATATTTTTTATGCTAATATTTTCTCATGTGATTTCAATTTTTCTTAGAGTTGCACAAAATATAACACTGTCCATGTAAAGAGAAATGATATTTTTTGCTTATTGAAAGGTAACCAAAGAAATACTTCAGAACTTATTTTAAGCCATATGTGCAACCATCACTTTTGTTTTGCTGTATAACTGTTTTATTTGCTTATGTGTGGTACAGTACTTGTGTGAAGGTACTATATTTTTTACAGATTTGCTCAAACACTTTCAAGGATGGCATGCATTGTGTTTCATATGATATTTACAAGTAGTAGCGGTGAAGATGCGTTGTTAATATGACATCATTTATAAGACGAAAGAATGTTTAACTATTGAGAGAGTTAATAAGCTAATAATAACTTAATAAGTTCATAATAACTTAATAAGCTGGAAATGATTTGTTCAGAAACCTATTCATATTAGATCTTTATAATAGTGTTTCAGCTTTGAACAACAAACTTACAGACATATAACTATTGATTTATTATTTCAGTTTAAAAAGTCACAAAATTTAAAGAATAAATGTTCTCATAATTTGTTCTGTATGTACTCTATAATATTATTCAACCTGAGGTCATTACAGTGTTATCCTTTAAAGGACAAAATGCAACAAATATCAATCTCAAGTACTAGTGCACATTGGATGAACATGGCAAAGCTACCAGAAATAATGTCCAAAATGTTCATACTGTAATAATCAAAATTTAAAATGAACTGAAATAACTGTGTTGCCATTGTGTGGGCACATGAAGCTTAGAATTCTGTAAATATTAATGAACAAAAAGGTACAGATAATGGAAAAGATTTTGCTAGCGGCAAAAAATAGAAAAGTATTTTTATATATTTTACTATACTAACCGGGCAGTGAAAGGACTGGCCTTTGATTGCACTGGATTCTGGAAGATTCTGATATAGTTAGCTATTACAATTGTATGATCAGTGTATAATCAGAATTGTAGGGGTCATAGTGTTTTTAAAGTATATAATAATAGAGCAGAAAAGAAAGAAAGAAAGGATAAGAATAAATATAAAAGAAGAAAGAAAGAAAGAAAAAAGAAAAAGAGTAAAGAAAGAAATAGAATAAAGACAAGAAAAAAGATAAAAAGATAAGAATAGAAGACAAGAAGAAATTATTCTATGTAGGAGAGAAAGAATAAGAAAGGAGAAGAAAAGAAGGAAGAAGGATATAGGAAGGAAGAAGGAAGAAGAAAAAGATAAAAGAAAGGAAAGAAGAAAAAAGAAAAGTAAAAGAAATAGAGAAAGAAAGAAAAAGAGAAAGAAAAGAAAAGAGAAAGAAAAAAACAACTGAATCCTGAAAATCAATCAGTAAGCCGTGACATGTTTTTCTACTGAATCCTCTATTCAAAGAAAAAATAAGAAAGAAAAGAAAGATAAGAAAAGGAAAAAAGAAAGAAAATATAAAGATAAAAAAAAGATAAGGTAAAGAAATGAAAGAAAAGAGAATCAAAGGAAAAACAGAAGAAGAAATTAAGAGACATAGTAGAAAGAAAAAATGAAAAAGAAAAAGAGGAAATAAAATTTAAAGAAAGATAGGATAGATATGAACGGAATGAAAGAAGGAAGGCAAGGAAAGGAAGAGATAAGAAAGGAAAAGAGAAATAAAGCCATTATAATGGACAACTTATAGAAAAGAAAGAATATAAGAAGAAAGCAAAAGAAAAAAACAGGCGATGAATAGAGTACTAATGAAAAGCTGAAGAAGTATACGAACTAAGATGAAGAATTGTATAATAAGAGACAAGAATAGTATGATTATTAAGAGAGATAAAAGAGAAAGAAGAAAAGAAGAAGATCAAGAAAAAGAAAGCAAAGAAAATAAATCAAGAAAGAGAAAAAAATAAATAAAAAGAAAAGAAAAGAAAGAGAAGATAAAGAAAGTAGAAAGGAAAGAAGGTAGTGAAAGAGAAAAGAAGAAGGAAAGAAAAAAACAAACAACTGAAAAAAAAAAATGACGCGATGTTTTCACCCAAGATCCTTCACAAGAAAAGAAAGAAAAGAAAGAAAAGAAAAGAAAAAGAAAAAGAAAGAAAAGAAGAAAAGAAAAGCAAAAAAGAAAAAAAGAAAAGAAAAGAAAAGAAAAGAAAAGAAAAGAAAAAAAAAAAGAAAAAGAAAAGAAAAAGAAAAAGAAAAGAAAAGAAAGAAAAGAAAAAGAAAAGAAAAGAAAAGAAAAGAAGAAAGAAAAGAAAAGAAAAGAAAAAAATTTAAAAAGACGCATGTTTTTTCGGTCTTCTATTCAAGGAAAAAATTTCAATAACCGATACTCCCATATCGTAACGCAAAGCTATTAATAACACTACAGCGATTCTGAAAAAAAACTTCCCCCTTTTTTCCATTTTTTGTGGAAAATTAGTCACGTCCGTAAGAAAAACGATTGTTAACCGATTTTAACACGATTTATGAGATATATATGTTTTATTTATGAGATCTATGTTATTCTTCGTTGTGATGTTTTTACGTGATGGATATATTTATATGTTAAATAATTTTGAATATCATGTTGTAGAGTGAGTATTAAATTCAAATTCGTGTATTTTCGATGATATATATATACATGTAAAACCATCTGGAATATCATGTTATAGAGTTCGAATATAACATTGATTTAGAATATGTTATAGAGTTTAAATTTAAATTCGTGTTATTTTTGTGATGGATATATATATATAATATAATATTATATATATATATATATATATATATATATATATATATATATATATATATATATATTAATATATATAATAAATATCATGTAAAACCATCTGGAATATCATGTTATAGAGTTCGAATATAACATATTCATTTAAAATATGTTATATAGTTTAAATTTAAATTCGTGTATTTCGTGAAGGATATATTTACATGTAAACCCATTTAGAAAACTATATCATAATTTATATGATGATATATCTACATGTAAACCTTTTAGAATATTATGTTATATAATATAGATAAAAGTTTGTGTATTTAAATGATGGCTATATTTACATGCTATATAGTTTAAATATGAGTTTATGTACCTACATGATGACATATTTACATGTCAACCCATATTATATAGTTTAAATATAAGTTTGTGTCCATTTACCTTTTTAAAAAGCTATTTTTTTTTCGACGTTTCTCGCAAAAGGCTGTAATACGCTAGATTTTACCGTTTTTTCGACTTTTGGGATTTTATTACTTCTGGCCTTTATTTCATTATAAATAGACTGAATGATAATTATTATCATATATTTACATATCAATTCGTTATGCTTTTGTCATCATTGATACTGCCACTCCTAATTAATTCAATGATTCCCCTATTGCTGTACGACATTTTAATTTCAGTTTGATTATTAAAATGCACGGGGCTAATAATTAACATCAATTATTGTTTTGGTTTCTGGTGTAAGGTTCCCCTCAGATACAAAGGAATTACATCTATACCCTTCTTTTTTTTCTTTTTTTTCAGTCTCATTGAAGACTGGGTTTGTTGGATCAATAAGACGCTATGTTTTTGGTCCTTTGTATAAATCATGTGGGATGTTAGCTTCTTCTTCGTGGGTGACGTTGTTCGCTGACACTCTTTTCCAAGTGATAGATTTTCGAACAGATAGAATTAGCCTCATTCTTAAGTATGTCTGTGTGAGCATTATTTGGTCACACTGAAATCCATATGACTAAAGGAATATGGCATAAAGGTGTTTTTATATAATTGCATTTCAAAAGCTCCATTTAGCAAAAGGTGCTATCGATAATTTAGGATTTTTAGCCTTGGTTGTTTGGTAAGTAAATTACTTTAAGTCAGCTGCAAAGGCGGGGATATTGAGCTGACATATGAAAGGCTTCATCCAGTCAGGGTGGTCGTATATTCATTGTTATCTTGATTAGTTTTACTTCCCTAATATGTGTGGAAACGTTTTCTCTAGTGACTTTTCCCAGTTATTTCCAGTTATGTGGTGTGGTGTGGAGTGACATATATGATATGGGTTTGCATAACATGATATATAGTATATATATGAATATGTATAAATGCATGTGTATATGCCTTCAGCAAGCACATTTATTTCAGTCATTAGGCATGGCCTAGGTAGCAGCAAAAGAATCCGCCAGGCAAACAAGCCCATTGCCATATTTGTCACCAAGTAGAATATTCCATTACATGCAGTACACCAGTCTCGTCGAGCAAAACGTCACTTGTCATACATGCATACAGCTCGGCCATATACAACGTGCATGCATTTCCTCTCCTGCCAACACATATTCATCAAACCAGAACACGAAACAACTTGGGTCCGTTTACACAAACACGGTGGAGACAACCAAAATCTTATAAAAACGCCTGCTTACCGATCAACCGTAGTTCAATCTCACCACGATTCAACACACCTCACCCTATCCCTACTTCTACTTTGTAGACAAGAGGTCCTCGGCATCAATATTACTTCGAAGAGTGCAATCCTTCTGGCCCTAGCAATAAGGGCATCGTGCGGAAGAGTTTGTTCGCCCAGCATAATAGGAAGGGAAGGAACAGCAGTAAGTGGAGCCTGTTTAGCAGTGAGGCGCTGTCTAGGTTAACTGCGGATGCTCGACCGTTGCCCATACGCGTCACCAGCAACATTATAATCTGGAAACCGAGACTTGTCATAGTATTAATCTATGGTTCGGCTTCTTTTCTGATGCGAGTGGTTTTCAAAGGTTTAAAAGTATGGGAGGATGAGAAATGGAGATTTATGTCTGGTATGTTGCGTTAAGGTATGGTTCGAGTTAGGTTTCACGCGGTTTCAAAGCTATCGTGGATGGTAAGATTTGGAAATTGAGATTCACATGATATGCCGTATCATTTATGGTCTGAATTTTGCAGTATTGATGTGGGTTCAAAGGCAAGGGAGTCGGGGGCGGATTCCGTACTCACGTGAGGGAGGGACAGGACGGCGTAGAGAGCGAGGACTGACAGCGCGGATCTCTCGGTTCGGACTTTCACTAGGCGGTCGCCCCTCGCCGCGTCGCCCCCGAGAGCCAAGGCGAGGCGCTTCCTCCTGAACTCCAGCGCCACCAGGAGGTACGCGACGAAGGTGGCGAGGGCCCCTGAGGTGTACAGGGCGATGTAGGTGGCATAGAAGGAGACTGTCACCCGCATGTCAGCGCACGGAGCCTGACCGTCGATCGCAGACGGCACCGCAACCAGGGCGAAGGGCAGCGTCCAGCAGGCGAGAGTGACGTAGCAACAGCGGCGCTTGGTGACCAGCATCGGGTAGCGGAGGGGCCAGCACAGGTACAGGTATCGGTACAGCGCCAGACACGTCACGCAGAAGCAGGAGACGACGTGCAGGTACCGCAGGAGAATAGACAGAGCGACGCACCATTCCGTGGTTCGTTTGTTCCGACACGAATACACAAGAAGCTTGACGTTGAAAATGAAAGAAATGGCCGACAGCAAAGCAATACTAACTGCCAGACTGTACACGAAAGGGCTTGGTGTCCTTTTCCTCAGACGTCGGTCCATAATGTATATAAATATCGTCAGTACACACTCACTCATCGTTAGGAGACTGAGTGTTATATAAAGGGCAGGAACAAGGGGACAGTTCATCTTGAGATCTCCCAAAGCCTGTTCATAATCCACGCCCAGAAACACTTTCTTGTTCACACTTTTTAGAAACATATTCCCTACTGCTGTACTCGGCACATATTTGGGATGAATATAGGGGTTGCTATCCATTATTTATCCTTGACAGAACACTTAGAGAGCTTTTTCTTTCTTACATTAGCGTCGAAAATTCCTTATGTTTGTTCTTTAAAATGCAATGTAAACGTAACTTTTTTCAAGAACCAATTCTTTTTAAGACCGACATGAGGAACACATTAATAAAATGATTTCCCAGTCCAAATTGCACAAATTTAACAAAACCTTTGGTACAGTGTCACAGCCATTCAAATTTCCCCGACGTTCACTGTAAATACTCCTCAGGAGAAACAATATCCACTAACAAAAATAAATAAATAAATACAGTATACTTTCCAAACATTTAGAAAAAAAAAGACAGTACCTCAGTTCATCCACACGGAACAAATACCACAATAACCTGTTTGTCACACGGTATCTTATGGTGTGACTGTCCCGCGATGATGTGGAAATGCACTATATTCTTGGCACGGTCGATGCCATCTCACCGGCAGACGAGCGAGGTGTGTCGAAAGTCCCCGCTTAATGTTCACGATTAATAACACTGTTCTTAAAAAATAACGGTGGCTGGAGAAGAAAAAAGGGATATATACAGATATTGATATTAATACCGGTTCTTTTAATATGTAAAAAAAAAAAAAAAAAAAAAAAAAAATCAGGTTATGGTTTTTTTCTTCATCTTCTAATAATGTTCACGATTATAACACTGTTCTTAAAAATAACGGTGGCTGGAAAAAGGGATATATACAGATATTGATATTAATACCGGTTCTTTTAATATGTAAAAAAAAAAAAAAAAAAAAAAAAAAAAAAAAAAAATCAGGTTATGGTTGTTTTTTCTTCATCTTAATAATGTTCACGATTATAACACTGTTCTCAAAAATAACGGTGGCTGGAGAAGAAAAAAGGGATATATACAGATATTGATATTAATACCGGTTCTTTTAATATGTAAAAAAAAAAAAAAAAAAAAAAAAAAAAAAAAAAAAATCAGTTTTTTTTTCATCTTAATAATGTTCACGATTATAACACTGTTCTCAAAAATAACGGTGGCTGGAGAAGAAAAAAGGGATATATACAGATATTGATATTAATACCGGTTCTTTTAATATGTAAAAGAAAAGAAAAGAAAACATCAGGTTATGGTTGTTTTTTTCTTCATCTTAATAATATCACGATTATAACACTGTTCTTAAAAATAAAGGTGGCTGGAGAAGAAAAATATGATATACAGGTATTGATATTAACAATGGTTCTTCTAATATGTGAAAAAATCAGGTTATGGTTTTTTTTTTTTTCATTTTCTTAATAATGTATTTGAATCCGTATTGATGTTGAAATCAAAATATGGCTATAACCGTTTATACTGCACTATACTGAAACAATAAATGGCATTAATTCGTCAGATGCTTCAATAAAATCCTCTAACTGGCCAGAACACTAAGAACTCATAAAAACAAGGAAATAACACTTCAAACATGACGCTTTTCTCACTAACTTTTGACATGCATTGACAATAATTTTGTAACAGCTATTAAACCATACAAAAGCTCATTAATACTATTTTTATACTACAAATAGCACTGTCCGGTCGATGCTTTCTAGTCGGTGAAATTAACCCTTTTCTACTTGGCTATTATCACCGTAAATATCAATCAAACTAGCATTATTTTCCCCCCAAAATAGACCTTTACGAAACTGGCAGTTAAGACACTCGAAATCACCGTAAATATCAATCAAACTAGCATTTTTTTTCCCAAAAAGACCCTTACGAAACTGGCAGTTAAACACTCGAAAATCACCGTAAATATCAATCAAACTAGCATTT